TTACACCCGGATAGCGTTGGAAAATGGGTTCTTCGTCTGGCTTACATACACAGAGGTGATGGTTTGCTCAGGTCCCAAAGTCAGGATTATTGCTTAGCGCTGGTGAGTTGTTTATGGATTGTTTTTTCGTAGCACTCGAATTATCCCACAGAGATGATCCTCCACATGCCATTTCATCAAGAGCATGACGAACGACCGCGAGAAGTTGTGGATAGGGAAATGCAGTGAGATTGAGAAGGCTGTGACAATCGGTAACAGTCGCAATCCTATCCGCTTGCTTAGGAGTACGGGATCAAGGACAGTGGGTGTAGGTGAGGTAATCAAGCAGTCCAACAACATACTGATTCAAATTCAGCTACATTGTCTGGAGCTACGGGAAGAACGTTTTAAGGCGCAGTTCGCAGGCCCCCATAGATATTTGATCTTTCGAATCCTGCTTCAACTGGGTAGATACTGCTAGTTTATATCGGTACTCCATCTGTAATGGAAGTTACACGGGAATCAATTTGTCTGAAAAGGTATAGGGCCAAACGGGCTGTTCCTATGAGCTTCTAAGAATGAAGGGGAAGCTTTGATTCAGAATCGGTGGTGTCCCGGTGGCAACGTGACCGAATTATCACTCGGGAGGACGTCTATCATAATCCCACTACCGCCAGCGCTTAAGTCCCCGTTTCTCTGTGTGTTGAATGGCACTCCTTTAATTGGTCGCTTCGACTTCCCGGAAACATGAAACAAAAAGAGATTATGGGAGAGGGCATTATATCCTGTTGTTAAAATCACAGAAGATTATTTTGATCAATACTGTCTTTAAAATTTTCACGAGGATCATAATCTTTCGATTGCACTCTGCAAATGAAGGGCGAAAGCTTGAGAATCAGAGTGCTTTTTGACCTGGTCCATTTTGTATGGACATTGTCCCCTTATATCTAATTCTAGAGCACAGACGGTCCTTATATTGACCCACCGTTTCTCTGTTCCTCTATTTGAAACCGGCTTTCAACTCAGTAAACCATTCCGTACTCTGACAATGCCTCTCCCTGAGAAATTCATTTCGATTTTGCAGTCCCTAAACGAAGACGAGTTCGAGCTTACGGTACATTTCGCTGTAGTTCACTACTAAAGGTGATACTTTTCAGATTACCCTCTCTCTCTATTTCTATTCAACTTCGTCATAGAACTAATTCTCAAAAGAGCTCCATCCTATTGCCAGGATAGTGGAATCGATTTGCTCCCAGCTGCTAGACTGTCTGATCTGATTTATACAAACGATATTGTACTGCTAACTGAATATCCAGGTAAGTTGCAAGCTTTCTTGGAGAGTTTGAGTGCTAGTGTATGTGTTTTGCACCTTCAAAGTGTAAAATGTTGCTACAAGGCTGAGTTGGCCTAGTCCCCAATCTCACTCAAACTAGGAAAGTCGTAGGGGATGTAGGCCGATTTTATTATCTGGACTGTATCCGCACGCATACAGAAGGCTCGATTTTCATTTACCAACTTTTGACAACAGTGGTGCCGTCGCAACAACCAAAGGCCCAAAATGTTTTTAGTGTATACTGCAGCAGTTCAGCCAATGCTGGTTTACGGGTTAGAGACTTGACCATTACGAGAAAAGATTGAGGATCAACTACCGTTGTTTGAATACCACTGTCTACGCTACATTGCACGAGTCTAATGGGGAAACCGGACAAGCTGTGTTGAGGTTAGACGCAGGGTTTCATTTAATCACGGTCGCCCACCAGAGCAAGTGATCGACCTACATAGATTACATTAGTTGGAACCTGTGTTGCATGTGCCACAAAATAGATTGCCCCGGTGCGAATTGTTTATCAACGCAGGCGGCAATTTTGAGGAAGGTTAAGGTCGATCAAATTAAGACTTGGCATGGAAGTAGGAAACCATTAATCAGGAACCTCGGTCATATTGTGATGGAAGGCAGTACAAAGAGAGGCAACGTACGTGCCAAGTGCAGACCAAAACCAACAAGGAATGACCCGCAAAAAGAGGCATGAATCATCCCGCCGCACGGTTGAGAATTGACTGTATATAATCGAACGCATGCATTGTTTGCTTTTGAATTGGATCAATAGAAGTTTTTCTCAGCCAGCTCACCTTCTCGCTACAATATAGGTCGCGTGAGGCTCACTATATGGTAACCGGTGGTAAGAGATACTATGTGACATGACTGATTTTCACAAACAGTGGCGCTCAGGGATCATCTCATTATCCTTTCAACTGTAGTCTGTATAAATCATCTTCTGTCTTTTGACTGTACTTTCAACATTTCAAGCTTCTTTCTGCTCTTCTATCCAATTTGTTAGTCTAAAGATAGCAACCAAAACGGCCTCACGAAGGTACATGATCAATGGTTGGGCAACTTAAACTGAGCTAAATCTATCCATTCTAGGTAGATCGGTAAAGGTTTAGAGGAAAGAGTGGTCGCAGTGAGGTTAAACATTACGCTGAAGGTGTCCAGGTTTATAACGTTTACTCTTAGTGTTATAATTCCAGAAAACCGGTGCTCGCTCGAGAAGAATCGTTTATTACAAACCTCAGTTAGGGTATGGATAATTTGGCGCACATGTAGCAGATATCTCATTTTGAAAATACCTTTATAATTCCCGACAGCGCAGAATAATGAATGGAACAAGCCATAGTTATCATTTCAAACACATCAGTTTGCTCTAAGAAACCTTGTTCATTTTTGACCGGTAAAAGAAACCGCCAACCGCATCCTTTTGCGTACTACTCTCAAACGTGACTAGTACCTCACAACACTCCTCCCCGGGAAAAATGAACTCCGCATACATCGACCGATGATGTGATTTTTCTAAAAAACTTGCACAAATCCATCTTTGGTTAAGAATGTTTATTGGTTTATTGCACGAGTTTTGAAGATCTAACAAGAGGTTGATTTGTATTTAACTCACAGTTACTTGTGAGTAGTGTATGGGGGGCAATTGATATTGATTGGTTTGACAGACTGTCCTTCGGACTTCAACTTCACGCACAATCCTCAGTTCATCGATTCAACCATTCGTGATTTGTGACGAGTCATTGGTTTACTTTGATACATACACCTGCTGACACTTATCCTTTGCCACATGTAACTTCGCTAATCCAGGGTCGCCGACACGGCCTCCAACATGGTGCTTCTACTGTGTCTCTGGCACTTTCAGAAGTGTCCTTGGTTTCTGTTTCACCGGCATTCTTAACTTGCTCATCGTTTTGTTGTACAGTCTAGCAAACTCTTGTTTGTCCGTTGTGTTCTCGATTGAGAAGGTTCGATTTGCAGCCCTTTCAAATTGCCGCTGGTATTAAACAACTGTCTTCACTGCCGTGTCCGGAGCTTCTACTGACTCATTTCACTGAAGTTCCGTCATATAAACAGCAGCACATATGTCAAACAAACATGGCACTTTCTGATGCCCCATTTCTACGCGGGTCAGCCGTTCCGGAAAGGGTATTGTCCGGAACAACCGATTGGAACCAGTGGTTCTTTCACGTACCACTTGGGCTGTGTTTCGGGGCATCCAGCACCGTCCGCTCTCGGCCGTTNGAGTTCCGTCAACTTACCTTGGATCGTCCGTATCCCCGCTAGCTCCGCAATGTCCTCGAAGTCCTCCAGGAACCTCCACACGTCCCCAATACCGAAAGCTGCCGACCATGTAACCTTCATTCTGATCCTGACGAAAGTACCAGTTTTCATACTTTCGGAGGACCGGTGTTAGCTCGAGAAAAATTGTTTACTACAAAGCACAGTGAGGTTATAAATAATTTGGCGTATAAATAACAATATACATATATACATAAATTCCCGGCAGAACACAGGATACTGAATGGAACAGGCCCTCCTTGTCATTTCGAACACCTTTGAAAGAAACCACCGATCGCATCCTTTTGGACACTGCTCACAAAAGTGAGTAGTACCTCACAAGATCGGTAATGTTTCTTTATGTCCGGTAGCCATTCTTTGGTTATAAAAAATAAGTATTTTATGCTCACATTGTCCACAACGTTAACCTATCCTATACTCAACAGGGCATCTCAAACGGTAAAACAGTCAATGAGAAACCCTGCTACTATCCGTTGGAAGATTTAAAGTCATTGGAGCAACGTTTACGGTTATATAATGTAAATATGCTCAGTGGAGATAAACTGTTGAAGCTGAGACTTTCCTTCTGTCCTCTTGTTTTGAAAGGATAATATTATAAATTTTTTCTTGCTCAATTCGCACTTCTCTGCCAGTGGACGTTGACTCGCATCACTCTTGACTTTCTTCCGTGGAGGAAGGTTCAGCGTAAATAGACTTGGTCTTTTCCGGGGTGGACGGGAATTATGACTGGTTGTTGGTATATGGTTTAGTGTATCTAAAGTGGAAAAATTCGCGAAGCATTGCTGCGCATGCACTGGATCTGCGCCGGTACGTTTGTCGGATTATTGTCTTATAATTTAAATCGAAATGGGGGTCAAAGAAAAGCTGTGAACCTAAGTGCCTAACAGATTTACAGATTTACAACTTCTATCAATACTATTCAAACCAATGTTTCTTCAAAATTGGACGCTTTGAAAACTGTCTAAGATAAAATAAAGTTGTGTAAACGGAAACGCAGACTTTGATAGCAAATTTTAAAACTAGTCTTTACAAACTCATCTAATCGTTTACTATAGAATTCACCATTTTCGTATCACTTCAAATTGTTTCTATATGTCTTATTTTGAAATACGTTTGAGTGGTTTCATTCCCCAATCTGGCGTTCTGTCAAGCATCCTAGGCACAAGTTGGGAAGCTACTGGGATGCGAAATTCGCTTATATTTAAATTTTCGATCGCCGATCCAACGGCCTAAATATTTGATGAAATCGATTTAACACACCTCTGTCTTGTCACTCATGAGCTGCACTAAATTATGTCAGGAAGTTTTTTGTCAGATATTTCATCTGAAAAAAAACATCTGTGATATAAGGTTCAAGACAAAGGTCATCAATCAATAAGCTGCACGGAAGAATCTCACCACATCTCCAGGCTGGTAATCGAAGTTGATCGATTTCCAATAACACTACTTATGAGTAACGTCAATTAGATAGTGAAGTGGAACAGATGAAAAACTGTACAACTGTACTGCCACATATAATAAAATAACAGAAATCCGCGCTTGCGAAATTGCCTATACTATACAAAGAATATTGATATAAAGTAAGATGTTGATTTAAAAATCTCGAAGAAGTTAGACAGTGCTGATTTGAGTGATAATGATTAATCGGGTTGTGTACATAAAGTGAGCTGGGTTTTATCGATTATTTATGAAGTGAAACAACCTCGCTAGTTGTTTAGTTGTCATTTGTATGTGTGGCGTTTCAGGTTTCAGGTAAATCTGGATTAATGAATTCGCAATGATTATCGGGTCCAAGGAGGTTGAAAGAGAAAAGCTGATTTTTCAGTTAACACTTTGCGTTACTTTTCATTTGTGTCTCAATGATTACTTCTGAAGGTAGTCCACGCATACATAAAACGTTTTATCGAAAAATAGTATACTTCAACGTGGTCCAGATGTCTTGCGTAATGAGAACTCACATTTCAAATTGCCAGATTTTTTCGGGTCAAGGATCATCCATATACTTCCTGCAAGTCAACTTTTGTCAGCTTATTTACTCACTGATATGACGAATTCGTAAGGCAGACCACGGGGCACATAAATAGCCTTCGCGTGTTCTGTTCACCATGTGTATTTCTTTGTCCGAAGACACACATTCGTAATCCATTTAGAAATAACGGTTTCACTGACTTGTAATGAAAGTACTTGTTTACTTCTCTGGTGAATTAATAGTAGTGTGTTCCAGGATCCGAATGTACTATGACATCATTAGAAATGTTGACAAAATATTGAAAATCGGTTCTCGTAGCTCGGGTGAACTGAACTCCATTTCGCCTGTTCGCCGAGCTTGGCAGTTTGTTTGCAAACGTTTCATCACCAGCCGAGGTGACANCATCAGTGCTTGTGAAGAAATGGCCACCGACTGACACCTATTGCCCTCATTCTACGCATTCCATGTGATGGCATAATTGAAAAGCATGAAGAATGGTGGAGTCATTACAATGCGTATCAACTCAATATTTCCGTTGTTTCGCTGACATGTTCAAAAAGGAAGCTTGGTAATACGAGCAGTTTGGCGAAACTGGTACAACGTTTTTCGGGCTTGTGCACTTGACTGCAGTGTTCTATGATCATGCGATCTCAAAAAAATATGTGTTGTAAACATCACTATTGAAATATTCATATTTCTGATTTCGGTCAAAAATTATATTCATTCTCGTTGACCATCAAACAAATTTAAAATTCCTCGAGGCGCATTCCGGTAAACGAAAGAGAAGGATATAAAAACGACATGTTTCCAATAACATGCACAATCTTTAGATGAATAAAGAGAATACTTGATGTATGTTTAATACGTTCAAGACTATATATTGCAAATACTTCCGTAAGGATTCCTTTTTCACCTGTGGTCAGTACCTACTGTTTAACCACATTATCATTGAGAGAATTGTTTTCCAGATAGCGATGCTTGGGTACAAGAATCTCAATGTATGCATTAGACATGTAAGATGGGTCCCCTAACTGTATGATGCAATTTTGGTGCGGATAACTTGGGAGTGCACGCCTACTAACCAAGACAAGTTCAATAAGAAAGCACAAACAGACAATGCAATGAGGAATCTGCTTTGAACTATTCTGCTTCAACTCTTCTCCATCCCCCTATTTCTCCATCTCCGTCCGTCTCATTCGTGCTCACTATCACTGTCTCACCCCGATTTATCTATCTTGTATTTCCAGTGGTCTCTTACACTTCTGTCGAGACTGTCAGTTGTCAGTGCACCCCTTATTTCCGTACGGGCAAACGTCGAAAATCTCAGACGGATAGGACAGTGGTGACTCGTCAAAGAGTCGGTATAGATGTAGAACCAGCACAACACAAGTGAGCTATGACTGTTTCGACACACGCTCGACCGTGTGCACTTTACCGTTCCGACTGTGTTCTTCGTTCTTGTTCCGAAGTGTCCGTTCTGTGTTTCTTTCTTTACATCCAAAACTGGCCACAATTTCCTCCAGTAGATTTATAGGCGGTTTATACTGTCACACTTGTGCTGCCCAACTTACGACTTCTGTCTCTCTTTCCCTCATGCGCTCTCTAACTCCGTATCGACAAACGAATGAAGGCACAGAATTAGCTATAAATCAAACTAACGTATTTATGTGAAATAAACAGAATGTACTACACTGTGTGAGATAAACTAAGCCTCTACTAATCGGTTTCATCCTGAATACTTGGTAATTAATATTCATTACAAATAGAAAAAGGAGTGCCGAGCAAGCTTATTTTCAGTGATTCTTAGTCATGTTGTTTATATATACGACATCGATGTCGTATGATGGCCACAGCGGAAGTGGTAGGAATTCGGCTGCAAAAATCCCCTCTCTGTGCCCAAAAACAATTTGTGCAGGCGCTTAAACTCCCTTGGTCCACTCCCTACACACCCCATATTCCGAGTGGTTCCAACAATCGGATGACCGAACAGTTATGTGCTCATTGAGAATCCCAAACCTGGTCCTATGACAAAATTAGCCTCAGTTAACATATGATGTTATTTTCCCTTTTCACAAACCAGTTGATTGGGTCTTTTCATGTTTGAATATTCCTACATATATAAACAGCGCGATAGTTGTTGTGAGGTATTTGGCATGACCACGAATCACTGAAAATGAACTAGTTCTCCACTCCTTGTTTTATTTAAAATGTGCTCTGTGGGACTGTTTAGATGATAGTCATTAGTTGTCGGATACAGTAGGTTGCTGTCTTCAGTCGCTCTCTGACATTGTCAAGCCAATAAAGTACGACACCTCGGACAATGCTCATAAATTGGATCTATTTGGGAGTAGATATTAAGTTGAACAATCTTCATTATCTTTTCTATCATCAAAATTAAATTGACTAGGTGCATTTAAAATAAAGCGTTTTTCCACAAACCAAATGATGAACAGACTGTTAGCGACGATTAAATTGATTTCTGGGATCACATTTCAGATATACCACCACTGTGATGAGTTGGCAGAATTAGATTTTGGCTAAAGAAAATCCTACCCTCAACACAAACCATTACAAAATCAAGCCAAGTCAAAGTCAAAAATTGCTTTATTCATCCTAATGGATGGATTCTCAGCTTCTTGCACTCCAGGAACATTTGTCGCCGCATACAGTCACAAAAAAGTGAGAAAAAATCATCGTTAATTTCAAGAAATGTGGAGTAAGAAGTTTGAAAATGAATATCAGTTGTGTAGGAATTTCAAAAAGACAACAGACAACTTCCAACGATTTCGCGAGAAATTCGATGCTCGCCATATTCAACGCCCTAAAGAAGTATGACGTTTCTCAATGATGCCCAGCTTCATCCAGAACCGAGGAATGCGGAGATTACTCAAAGTGTTTAGTAGGTTTCTGTGTGTGCGCTTTAGCATGAAAACCCTTTGATTACCCTGCAAAATAGTGAAAGGGAAGTGACAAGGAAAGTTTTGAAAAATCCGCGAGGTGGTAACACAAAACATTTTACTCCAAATGCGCTCCGAAGAAAATGTATTTCATCAGATCACACGCTCGGAGGTGAACTATTGTTTTCATTGACCACTTCTGTACAGACTATTAACGGAAATGACAGTAAAAGAGGGTAGATATTCAGTCGCCCAAGGTCACAGTGATTGCCGGGGAGAAAGAGGGATGTGGATTGAGTAGCATGACCCGTTTCACACCACTAGGTCACCACAAAACAGCAGTCAAGTTGTGATGTGTCATTCGTTCGATCGATATTCGGTCATGGCAGTTGGATGGTATGGATCACGTTCTTTTGTGAGCATGCTTTAGCTGTGAACAAACGAATGCCAATCGCTTCCACAGTGGTTAGAGTTTGGAGGCGCAACGATTTGGATGGATGCAGTGGTCCGCGATAGATAGTCTTTAAGGCTGATTCAGGCCTCAATGACCTGAGTCTGCTAGATGAGCGAGAGTATCGCTTCCTGTGACACCTTTTCCACCGGGTTGAAGCCAGCGTGGACAGTGCTCTTTAATTCGCTGAACGTGTAATTTCTCACGTCATAATGAGAATATTCTGGAAGGGTAGTAACAATGATTGTGTGAGGCGAAAACAAAGACACTTTTTCTCTCACTACTTTTTCGTTCATTCGTTCTTATTGCTCAATATGTTAGTTTCTTTGATCAGTTGTCGACCGACTTGGAAAGATTGAGAAGCCCCTTGGAACTAACTCATCTAGGATAGTTCGCAAGCCTTACTTCAACACCGTTCATGATGAGATGTTTGAACTGCTCTGAGGAGTACTGCCTGAATTAAGCGATGGATCATATTGAGTAGCTCATACGCGGGAGTTCCATCCAAAAGTTATTTGATCCGAACAACAGGATCGTGAAACATTCTTTTCGGTAGGCGCCTTCTCGATCGATGAGATTTTCGCATTATTAGGTACTCGACACATCTCATCGACCAGACTCACCCTGATGAAATGACACATCTGAGTAGTGAGATAGCAGTGAGTGGGCCCTGGGAAATTAGTGCTGTGAAATCCTAAATTTTCTCTTCGATCCTACTTTCAACCTTTCCTGTCTTCCAAAAAATGAATTGAACGGGCCCTGCGAGTGGTGACAGTCGGGTGTATCAGCGCAGACATCTTCATTTTGATGCCCTCTTTGATGCCTTCCCGCAATAGCTTTTCAGGTGACGTGCCAAACCAGTCCGTTGCGACCGTCATTAGTTGCGAATGGGTGGTGGTGGCCAGGGGGTTAGGTCAACAAATTGTGACCTGTCAGTCCCGAGTTCGAACCACTCCACCGCTTCCCGTCTTCTCCGACAGCCTTTGTATGGCCACGGCCCTCCTTCCTGAATATTGACTGTATATTTGTATATTCAATAGATAAAAAAGAATTAAAAAGACAGTCATTTATTTTATTATTACTATAATCGAAAAGAGAGGCAACGGTCGATAATATGCTTCTTCTATTTTTTGTATTAGGGATAGGGGTGAAGTAAAAGACGAACACGTCCTCAATCGTATTCCATTTTAGACCCAACGCCCCCAATATAGTGTTAGTTTGAGAAGAAACCTGTTCTGCGGTGTCCGTTACTCCTGAACATGACAGGGGTTTCATCACAAAGGGCGAATGTGATATTCACTTCCTCGATTTAAACCCCAAGGAATTAAAATTTCACTTATTTCCCTACAGATATCTTCGCTTATTCACAGGATGCACGGGATAAGAGACAGATTTTGACATGAAGACTTTCCTCTATCACCTCAAAGATGGACCGATCATAATGCCATCTGATGGCTTCAGCGGTTTTGCTCTACACAAAGTCAGCACAAAACGGGGAAACGGAAGAAAGCCAAAGGGAAGCGACGCCATTTGGTTTTTCATACCTCCCTCGACATAGTCCGTGATTGATGCGGTTCTGCAGGGGGCCCCAGTGATTTCTGCCTCTCAAGATTGACTGATTCACCTTGTCCGAAGTGCGGTGTCTTACGCCGGTGTACGGACCCAGTCAACGAATGTTGGGAAGCCACAGAGGTGGAGCGGTCGATTATACTGGATAACTCTAACCTCTGTCGCAAATATAAGAGTTCCTTTCGCTATTTTTCTGTCTCCACGTATTTTCAATCTAGGTTTTGTGTCCCTTTAAGATGTTTTGACTTCAACACTGGCGGGACTTATCGCTAAAACAACTACTGTGACAACTACTGTCGATAATATGAGAACCGTAAACAGAAAAACAAAAGCAGGGGTCTTGCCAATGATGATTGGACTCCAGCATGAACTTCGGAAGCCATGTTTCCATTTCCTGTGATCGACAGTATGTGGACATCAACTTGAGCGCTAGTCAGCAGCGGGGAGTCATGCTGAGTACTGCAACGTGCTGAATGACTTGAATCTGAAGATAAAAGGGTTGTCCTGTTGCATTTTGGTTTAGATTGCTCTGTCCAAGGCTCGGAGTGAGGTCCCCCAATTCAATCTCTTATTCTAACTTGGAATGATGGTGGTAGAATGAATTTCCATCGGGTTGACCCCTTACAGCATTTTCATTCTCAGACCCCTTTAACACTATTTGGAACAATTCATTTTCAGTATTCTTCGGATGGTTCAACAATTTCTTTCTCAAATTATATTGCTTTGTAGGCAACAGAAGGAGAACAGTCTTACCTTTCGGTTGTGAAACCATCCGTAGAGCGTACTCTGTGTACGGGTGTAAAAGCATTGTCGGTGCGTGGGTTCGAATTCTGCCGAGGCTGCTGACACTTTCAAAAACCTAGCATATTATTACTTTGTGATTTCAAGAGAAGTTCTCCTTTTTGTGGAATCTATCAATATAGATACGGTCATCTGTGGATGGGCTTCCGGTGTACTGATTATTCCATCCGGTCAGATTACGGATTTCATTTTGAATATCCTAAGTGTACCTTGATCTTGATCAGATGACAAAGAGTTGTGCCTTCCGGTAGAGAACCTCGTGATCTACCTTGTCAGTGTTTAGAGACACAGTGTGCTATGGACCACTGTCACTAGCAGTAGCGCTTGGGCACTCGTTCATTTTCTGCACCAACTCTGTTCCCCTGTATTCCGTAGCTGTATCCTGGCACTGCTCTCAGTGCTTTACCTCTTCCAATTACTGTTTCCTCATCGGTGGACAGGATGGCTAAATGAAAAACAGCAGGATCGATAGTCGTGCAATTCGAAAACAAAAATCAATGTCCAAATGCGTTTACAGAGGGTGGAGGGATATGCCATATATATATATATGCTATGAAAGTGTGGTTGATAATTCTTGGACTTGAGACCTGACTTTTTGTGGGAAATTCACGGTTCCAAAGAAACAGAATATCTCTGTCTCTGACTATACACAAGTTGGAATAAATACTGAATACT